GCTGGAACTACAAGTGCACGCCACCATGCCTAGCTAGTTTTTGTATTTTTAATAGAGATGGGGTTTCACCATGTTGGCCAGACTGGTCTCGAACTCCTGAACTCGTGGTCCACCCGCCTTGGCCTCCCAAAGTGCTGGGATTACAGGCGTGAGCCACTGCGCCTGGCCAACTTTTTGTGTGTTTTTTTTGATTCAGGGTCTTGCTCTGTTGCCCAGACTGGAGTGCGGTGGTGTGATCGTGGCTCACTGCCGCGTCCAACTCCTGGGCTCATGCAATCCTCCTTCCTTGGCTTCCCAAAGTGGATTACAGGCGTGAGCCATGGTGCCCGGCTGAGTAAACTTTAATGTATGCAAATTTAAAAAAATTAATCTTGGAGGTCAGCGGATCCCAGGATGGAATGCAGAATGCAACCAAAGAAACTAGCTATATTACAAATGTATGCAACAACCTCACTGTAGGGGCTGGGGGAATAAGGTGCTGACCTAGAAATAAGGGAGTCTGTAAGACTAAATGCAAAAGGAACTGCACATAAGCACCGCACTGGAGTTGAAAAAGTGGTGTCCCACAGGAGTATGGGTTAACAGTTCCAAAACCACTGTACATGTAGCTGGAACTGAACAATGAAGTAAACAGAGGATGGATGATGGGGGTCACTGTTGGAATGAAAAGTTACAGATAAGCAAGTGGGGTGGCTAGAATGATCCATGTGGTAATGGACTGGAGTTGGAAGCATCAGGATGAACTCATGTGCGGCTTAACAGAGATTCAGTTGCTTACATACAGGAACATTTATAAATGTCTGTATACACAGAATAGAATGCACACACACACATATCTCCTCATGTTATCAGCAGAGAAGACCTGGAAACAATTGTCCCTCCCTGCCCCACACCCACTAGCAACAAGCACCCAGTGTAGTGTCCAGATCTTGGTTTCTTTTCCTTTTCTTTTCTTTTCTTTGCTTTTTTTTTTTTGAGATGCAGTCTCTCTCTGTCGCCCAGGCTGGAGTGCAGTGGTGGGATTTCAGCTTACTGCAACCTCCATCTCCCGGGTTCAAGCCATTCTCCTGCTCTGGGGCAGGGCATGGTGCCTCCTGAGTAGCTGGGATTACAGGCACCTGCCACCACGCCCGGCTGACTTTTTGCATTTTTTAGTAGAGGCAGGGTTTCACCGTGTTGGTCAGGCTGGTCTTGAACTCCTGACCTCAAATGATTTGCCTGCCTTGGCCTCCCAGAGTCCTGGGATTACAGGTGTGAGCCACTGTGACCAGCCCCTGCCCCCTTTTTTTTTTTTTTTTAAAGAGTGACAGGGCTTCGCTCTGTTGCCCAGGATGCAGTGTAGTGGACTGGGCACTATCCTAGTTCACTGAAGCCTTGAACACCCAGGGACAAGTAATCTTCCTGTTTCAGCCTTCCAAGTAGCTGGAACTACAGGCGCACACTACTACACCTGGCTAATTTTTAAAATTTCTTTGTAGAGATGGGGTCTCACTATGTTACCCAGGCTGGTCTTGAACTCCTGGGCTCAAGTGATCCTCCCACCTTGGTGTCTCAAAGTATAGGAATTACAGGCATTAGGCACAATGCCCCACCCCAGATCTTGGTGTCTAATACCATTCTCCACTGAAATGAACCAGGGCTCCTTGGAGAAATGACTGATTCTGGGACGGGGCAGCAAATATACCAAATAATCCTGGAGCAGCTTGTAGTGCCAAAACGTAAAAAGTGCTAAAAACAAACATACACAATGATGGGGACACAAAGCCAATTGAAAGACTTCCTATGGATCGATCTATCGATCTATCTATCTATCTATCTATCTATCTATCTATCTATCTATCTATCATCAATCATCTACTGAGATCTCCTATTGTTCTGTTTCTCTGGAGAACCCTGACTAATATATAGGGGACTCTGGGCATGTGGTATTGGGAAACCGTCTGTGCTATCTTCACAGTCATTCTGTAAGCCTACAGCTCTTTTGTTTGTTTGTTGTTTGTTTGTTTATTTATTTATTTATTTTGAGATGAATCTCACTCTGTTGCCCAGGCTGGAATTCAGTGACACAATCTTGGCTCACTGAAACCTCTGTCTCTCGAGTTCAAGCAATTCTCCTGCCTCAGTCTCCTGAGTAGCTGGGATTACAGGCGCCTGTCACTACGCCTGGCTAATTTTTGTATTTTTGGTAGAGTCAGGGTTTCACCATGCTGGCCAGCTGATCTCAAACTCCTGACCTCAGGTGGTTCACCCGCCTCAGCCTCCCAAAGTGCTGAGATTACAGGCATGAGCCGCTGTACCTGGCCTAAATCAGAAGATCTTATAGCTTGGGGCTGCTCTGACTGGCAAGAGTCAGAGCAGTTGGGCAGCAGGTGCCCCCTGTAGCAGGGGCAGGGGTTCTGGACTCGCCGTAGTTTCAACCCTTCCCACTATTCCTTCCCCAGCCCACTGCAGCCTCAATCTCACAGGCTTAAGGGATCCCCTGCTCCAGCTGCTGTCTGTTGGGAGGTGTGTGTGAGATTTGGGGGAGCTGGGAGCACTTCTTTTGCCAGCAGACACATTGCCCCGATTCAGACACTACACAGCCACTCCCAGTTCTCCAGCCACAGAGCCTGCCAGGCTGAGGCCTGGGGAGGTGGTGGGAGGCTGACCCTGAGTGGGGTTCTGATTTCCCTCTTCCTCATGGCCATCACTACCCCTCAGCCCCTGCAGCAGGGACAGACATCTTCTCAGGCAGCAATACCATCTGTACCAGCCGTGAGGGTGGTGGAAGGAAGGGTGGGAGTGTGGACCCTGGCTCCCAGAGAAGCCACTGAGCCTGGGGCAACTTATCCTTATCCCCAGTTCTGCCAGATTGGCAGAGGTGATTACCTAATTGAGGATTAAGGATTAATTGAGATCTGCCAGGAGAGTGGTGCTGAGGCCCCTGCAGCCAGCTCTAGCACCTCGGCATCCAGTCTCCAGAATGCACAGGGTGCATCTCCAGGCTGCCTGCCTTCTTTGCCCCAGGGCCATCTTGTTGGCAGGTGCCATGTGAGGACCAGGCACAGGCGCTGGGAGCTCTCACCCCTTCGAGACGAGGAAGGACCGGGCTTGTTTGCTCCCACCAGGCAGGAGCTGCAGATGAGGCCTGCGCCATAGCTAGAAGAGGCCGAGATCTGGCCTGGGCCTGTCCTGACCCTGAGGCGCCCTCCATAGTTGGCACTGTGGTTTCAGAGTCCCCGGGCCTGGGTGCAAGTCCCACCGCCCTTCATCCTGACTGTGTGCGGCTTGATGCCAGTCCTGTGTCCTCCTGGAGCCTCTGTGCAGGCAAAGGCCCTGGATTAACCTGGGGGTAATGGAAAGTCATGGCCAGGTCCTGAACAGGGGTGTGACAAAACGCAAGTGGCATTTTAGGAAGAATAATCTGGCAGTGTGTGGGGATAGAGGGCAGTGAGGCCACGTGGTCTCTAGCAGATCACTTAGACTTGGTGCTATTGTTTATGTTATTTTTAGTTAAAAAAGTGTTTTTTAGAGACATGGTTTTGTTCTGTTGCCCAGGCTGGAGTGCAGTGGTGCAATCATATAGTTCACTGCAGCCTCGACCTCCTGGGTTCGAGTGATCCTCCCACCTCAGCCTCCCAAGTAGCTGGGACTACAGGCATGCACCACCACACCTGGCTAATTTTTGCTTTATTTTTGTAGAGATGGGGTCTCGCTCTGTTGCCCAGGCTGGTTTCAAATTCCTGGCCTCAAAGTGCTGGAGTTGCATTCATGAGCCACTTCACACGGCCCTCGTGCTATGGCCTTGATGTTTGTGTCCCTCCAAAATGCATGTTGAAACTCAATCCCCAATGGAACAACAGTAAGGGGTGGGGCCTTCAGAAGATGAGTGGACCACAAGGGCTCTGCCCTTATGGATGGGATTAGTGCCTTATAAAAGGGCTGGGGGTGGCGGTGGGGTGGGGGGAGTAGCCAGGCCCTCATGCCCTTCCTGCCTTTCTGCTACGTGAGGCATCCTCTGGAGGAAGCAGCTCAAGGCACCATCTTGGAAGCAGAGGCCTGGCCCTCTCCAGACACCCAACTGCCCGCACCTTGACCCTGGGCTTCCCAGCCTCCATAACTGTGAGCAATAAATTCACGCTGTTTATAAAATACCAGTCTAAGGTATGTTGTTATAGCAGCAGGAACAGACGAGGGCACTCAGCCCGTCAATTTCTTCAGTCTGGAAAATGGGGCCCTGAAGACTGGGGTATGCTATGGGTGTCCGGGGTCCTCCAGGGGGAAGATGCTGAGATGGAGTTAGGGAGGAAGGTAAAGGGGAGGAAGCAGGACTGGGCAGGCAAGCCTCTGATTCCACACCGATCTGTCTGCCTTGGCTGCCCCAAAGGGGAGCTCGGAGCAAAGACTGCCCATTAGAGGAGCCTTGCATTAGGGAGAAATGTCCAGGTCCTGGTTCCCCACGCTGTGCTCAGTTAGTGGCTGGGGGCTCCCTGGAGGAGTGAGGTGTCAGCCCAAAAGCTGAGGTGTCTCCTGAAGGGGCCAGTGGCTGAGCCCTTCTGCTAACTCACCCACTCTATCCTCTAAGTTGAACTGCACGTTCTTGAGGGGAGCTCTGAGCAGTGTGCCCCCAAGGCTACTGCAGGAAAAGTGACATCAAGCTTGGGAAAAGTCTTTCTGCGGTACTTTCTCCACGCTCAAATGTCATCATGGAGCTAGCAGGAGCTGTTCTCAGGATACATGGCAGGAAATGTGGAGGCCAACACACGCCTGAGCTCGGGACAAGAAGGCTCTGTTTACTGGCTAGGGATGTTTCCTGACGCTTGCTCTGGGCCGGGTCCAGGATCCAAAGAGGAAGAAGAGAGGGTCCCCATCTCCCTGAAGCTCACAATGGAAGGGATTTGTGATCCAAGAGGACAGTCCCGGTCCTTGATTTCGGGGGCCAAATACTGGAGCCTCCAGGATGAGCAAGTGAGAGGCAAAAGCCATCTCCCCAGGCTTGGAGATATTTTACTGTCAGAGAGACAGAGACGAGGCCAGGCAGCTTTATTGGAGAAGTGGTGGTGGGGGTGAAGGCAGGCAAGGGCGCTGCACACAGGTGGGATGGGGAGGAGAGGGGTGTCCCTGCTGGAGGTGATGGGCTTCAAAGAACATGCTGGTGGGCAGAGGCTGTGGTCCTTGAGTCCTGTCTGCTGCCTCCAGCTTCTGTACAGGCTCACCGAGACATCATTCGCACAAACTCTGCCAGGACGAAGCCAGGGTTTTGGGTCTGTTCTCTGGACTGCACTAGGAGTGAGGACCATCTGCAGGCCTTGGGGCAGGTGGGAGTGTGGTTGAGGGGAGGGTCTTCAAGGGCATCCTCTGGATCTGATAGGGAATAGGTCTCAGGGCCAGGAAGAGGGGGCTTTGTCTTATGGGGGAAAAAACAAACCCTTGTAATGGAACTTGTTTTCCTTTTTGCTTTGACAGGTAGGAAGCTCAGGAGCAACTCTGGGGCCTACTTATGGGAATGCATTTCCACATAGTAATTTTCCTTGGCTTCTATTATTATTTAATCATTTTTCCCCTTTATGGAAATGCAGCATAGAGGAAGAGCTGGGTTCTGGATCAGGCTGCCCAGATTCAAACCTTGGCTCCATCTACCTGCTTTTGCTTAGTGCCTAGGCTTTCCTGAGAATGGACTTTCTTCTCCTGCCTATGGGGATAACAATTCCTTCCTCTCGGGTTCTGCATGATGATTAGGAGAGGACATTGGGGTGCGTGGCACAGGGTCTAGTGCACAGTGGTGATGCCTGCTGTGCGGTTTCTTATCTGCTAGGAGCCTTCCAGGGCGTGTGTTGCTACGCGCGGCAGGGGGTACCTTCGAAGTCGACCAGGCCGTCCCCATTGAGGTCCACGTCCTGGAGGATCTCCTCCACCTCCCGCTGGCTGAGGCGCTCCCCCAGCAGGGCCTTGAGGGCTGCCCGGAGCTCGCCCACGCTGATGCGGCCGTCCCCGTTGGTGTCGAACTGTGGCGGCGTTGGTCGTGGCGTCTGGTCACTGACAGTCATTCACACGCGCAGCCCCTCACTCACGGCAGACACGCAGCCCCGCCCACCCTCAGCCCCAGTGGCCGCACCTCCCGGAAGGCGTCCCGCAGCTCCCGGACGCCGATCATGTCTGCAGTCTCTGCCAGCAGCTTGGGGCCCATCAGCTCCACGAAATCTTCAAAGTCCACCTTCCCGCCACCTGGAGGTCCCGTCCATTACAGACCCGTGGCACCAGAGACCCCTGCCCCGCCCCTGGCTCTCCCTCCTCTGCCCTCTGCCTTTCCTTCGTGAATGGATCCTTTCCTCCCTCTGCATCTGAAGCCTGGGTCATCTATATTTCCCAATGGGAATCGCCCTCCAAACAAGGCACAGATTTGGCCAAAGGTGAAAGGAAAACCACGCTCAAAACTTCTTGGGCGGGGCGCGGTGGCTCACGCCTGTAATGCCAGCACTTTGGGAGGCTGAGGCGGGTGAATCACCTGAGGTCAGGAGTTCCAGACCAGCCTGACCAACATGGTGAAACCCCGTCTCTACTAAAAATACAAAAATTAGCCGGGCGTGGTGGCGGGTGCCTGTAATCCCACCTACTCGGGAGGCTGAGGCAGGAGAATTGCTTGAACCCAGGAGGTGGAGGTTGCAGTGAGCTGAGATAGCACCATTGTCACTCCTGAGTGACAGAGCAAGGCCCCATCTCAAAAAAAACCAAAAACAAAAACAAGAAACCCAAAACAACAACAACAACAACAACAACAACAAAACCCCCCAAAAAACTTCTTGGAACTTTCCTTAATTTTCCTGAAGAGTTCAGTTGGGTTCAAGTCCTGGCTCCAAGGAACTTGCTGTGTGACCTTAGACAAGTCCCTTAACCATTCAGTTGCCTCATTTGCAGAATGGGAATCACAGTCCATGCTGTGCCCACCACCTAGAGGCGGGTGAGATTCTCCAGGGGCAGAGAGCTTGCCTTGAGAATGACCAAGGTCATGGGCTCTGAGGACAGCCTGTGCAGTCACCTCTGTATCTGGGTTTGGCTTCCTGGGCCCAGCCAGGGCATCTGGAGGACTGGGGATGGGGACAGGCCCGAGGCACATACTGATTTGTTGGGAGATCTCGATGAGCTCCATCTCGGTGGGCATGTAGCCCAGGGTCCGCATGCAGGCACCCAGCTCCCGGCAGCCGATGTAGCCGTCCCGGTCTCTGTCAAACTCCTGGAAGGCGACCTGCAGCTCTGCCAGGCAGGGTGGGGTCAGTCCTTCCTCCATATCCCCCTGATCCTGGCCTGGACCCACCTACCCTTCTCCCTTGGTCTAATCATCCCTCCTTCTGAACGTCAGATTCTCTTTGCTGCCTCAGGGCCTGTGAACATGCTGTTCCTGTTATTTGTTCTTTCAGCAAGTATTTGAAGAGTATCTACTATGTGCCAAGCTCTGCTCTAGGCACTGGGGATACAGCAGTGACATTTTTCAAAAAGGAAGAAAGAAAGTGGGGGAAACAAATCACGACCGCTTGGAGATGTGGTCTTTTGTCACCTACTAAAGGAAGACATCCCTTTACATGTGGCCTCCCCAGCCCATTTTTTCCTTTCCTGGAAAGCACGTTCACAATTTATACTTGTAGCCGACTAACTGACGTTGATCTCCAGAGGGCACAGGCCATATCTGCCTAGCCGGCCATGTTTCCCAGTGCTTAGCCAGGGCCAGGCACACAGTGGGCACCCAGGAAGTGTCAGCTGAATGAGCAAATATAAAAGGGGCCCTGTCACCTGCCTGGTGAGTGAGACCAAGAAATGACAGCTGGGTGGGGGTCTGTCATCCCCTCCCTGCTCAGTCTTGTCCCCATTTCCCTGAACCAGTGTCTTGTAGCCTTCTTGCCCCTACCTCCTCCTGGACACACTGAGGCCCCCACCCGATGTCCCCCCAACCCTATGTCCCCACCCTATGCCCCCCCATGCCCACCTCCCCTCCAGGGAACCAGTTCCTTCTACAACCCTTTACCTTCAATCTCCTCGGGCCGCAGCTCCCGGTCCTGAAGGGCACAGAGGGGTTAGGAATTCCCCGCTCCTCCTGATGGCTGTGCCCTTCCTTCTTGCTTCTCAGGGCTCCCCACCCAGCCCCACACTGCAACACGCACACGCAGGGCCTGTGTCTGTCTGACTGCTCAGCCCTGGTTCCCACCTAGTTCGGCTCACTGGCCTGGGTGACCAGGTGCCCCCTTCCCTGCTTCTGGCCTAGGTCACTCCTCGGGCCGTCCCCACCTACTTCGTCACCCTCTTCTGGGGCAGGGTGCTCCCTTTGCTGGTGGTGGATCTGGGGTTTGGGCAGAACCTCAGACTTGGTCCCGCCAGCCTCAATGTCACTGTTGATTTCTTCCGTTTCTGGGGTCATTGCGCTCTCCTCTCTCTGCACCCCCACCCCAGATCTGTGTGCCTTTGCTCTGATGTCCCCACTCAATCCTCTTCCCCCCAGCTCCAGGAGAGGCAAAGCGAGGGGCAAGGGCAGGTGGGCTGGCAGGTGAGGGGCAAGGGCAGGCAGGCTGGCAGGACAGGGGTAAGGGCAGGCAGGCTGGCGGGCGGGTGGCCGTACATACGAGTTGGGTGGCAGCAATGCTGGGCCGCAGGAAGATGCAGGCAGGCCCCACCAGGCTGTTGAGCACTGAGTAGCCCTGGATGCCTGGCCTGGGGGCCCCCTGCTCCTTGGGGCTGGAGCTGGGGCTGGGGCAGGAGCCCCTTGGTGGGGAGCCGAGCCACTGCCAGGGGTCCTGCAGCAGAGCCGGCCATGAGCTGGGGCAGTGGCCACCGAGCTCCGGGCCTGATGGCCCTCCCCACTCCTCTCACCAGCTGCTCCTGCCTTTGGAGCCCAGCATGGGACAGTAGGGAAGGGGCTGGGGGGTAGAGAGAGGACCCTCACCCATGAGCACTTTAGGCAGAAAGGGTCCGTCCTCTAACTGTTCTATTGGGCAAAGTGAGGACCAGAAAAGGCAAGAGACTTGGCCAAGGCCACTGAGAGAGCCAGCGGCAGAAAGGGACCTTGTGCCCAGCTCTGTCTCCTAGATGGAGGCTGGCTAGCAGAGAGTGGGGACCTGCAGCCAGGGTGGGGCAGCTGGATGGGCAGCTGGGGGATCTGGTGAGCCTGGCAGGGAAGACCCAGCGGTCTGTGGGAGCCAAGATCAGGGTGTCCGGAGGCTGTGACTTCCAGGAAAAAAAATCTCCACCTGGGGCAGTGGGCAGCCCCCAACCCCGCCCGGCCCTCACAGGGCTCTGCCCATCCCATCTGACCCTCAAGGTCCATTCCGGCCTCCTGGCCTGGGCTCTCCCCTGACCCTCCTACCTTAGGGCCCCGGCGCCGGGGCCTCTTGGCACAGTTCCCCATGGGCCCTGAACCATGCCAGGCCTGGAACCCCGGGGGTGGCCCAGGCTGGGCCTCAGCGGATGCTGCTGCCCGCGGACTCCTGCCAGCCCCCAGCTGCTCCCGGTGAGAGCCTGGGAGTACTGCCGGGGATTTTCCCGGGGTTTTGTGGGGAAGATCAGGGGCGGGTGGGCAGGCGGGGGACCTGGGCCCGGGGCTTGGGTCCTAATCCAGGATTATCTTTGAATGTCTCCGCTGCTGAGGGGGGCCACTTGGGCCCAAGGCCCCCTGGAGAGCACAGACGCCCCAGACTGCGTCCTGAGGGTCTTCCAGACACCCGTTCTCCAGCACCCTCCCCCAAGCCCTGCCTCTAATCTCTCCCAATCAGGGGAGGTTTAATGTCTTCAGAAGCAGGGCTGGGTCCCAGGAGGAGGAAGGCAGGCGCACAGTGTGCCAGGGCGGGCTGTGCCCTCCGAATGGCACAGATGCCGGTTAGTATGGACACGCAGGCCCTCCCACACTGCCTCTCAGAAAGAGGAAGCCACTTGGCCCAGCCCAGGAAGCTCCTGCCTCTCTCTGCCAGGACCCCAGCTGGGCCCTGGGCTCCTCACCTCGGCGGGGGGGCCCACTTGCTTGCCCTTGGCACCCCCTGCCTGGACTGGTGCCCCGCCCTTGGATGAGGAGCAGAAGGGAACCGCCTCGGTGTGTGGGCAGTGGCAGGGCTCGGTGAGGGCGGAGATTGGGAAGGGAAGCCACCCCAGCCCTGATGACCTGAGAGACTCCCCCACTGGCCTCGGCCTCCAGGTCCCCTCCCTGGACTGAGTCCCGGGTCTGTCCTCTGGGGTCCCCGGTTGAGGTGTGGGGTCCCTGCTGTTCGCTCCTGGTCCCCTCACACCCCTGCCCGCATTACCTGCCCGTAGGCTGCCTGCACCTGGGCCTCGAGCTCCCGGAGGAGCGCTCGTCGCTGGGTGGCTGGTGGGCTGCCAGGGGCCTGGCTGGTTCCTGGAGTGCCCTCAGAGGGGTTGGGGTCCCCCGTTGGGAGGCTGCCCTCTGCTGGGTCCTGGGGCTGGGCCATGGAGATGAGGGCTTGGTACTTCCTCCTGGCTGAGGGACGCTGCTCCCCTCCGGCCTCCCCAGTCCTGCGGGAGAGTGGCCTTGTGGGCAGCTGCAGGTGTGGCCCAGGTCCCTGCTGCTCTTCTTTCTGTCCCTTCCTCCATAAACTGGGAGAGCCCCATGTCCCCAGAGTCTCCCAGAGTCTCATATCCTCCCTAGCTCCCCGTGGCCCCTCGTGCGGCCCTGTCAGCCTGGTGAACCCCTCATGCTGGTCACAGACTGTGCCCGGGGCTCCACCTGATCACCCTTGCGGCCCCGGTGGCCGGCCCTCCCGCTTGCCTGTGGCTTCCTCCCCGCAGCCTTCTGCCTCCATCTCTGGCTCACGGGTCCCCTGCTGCCCCACACACCCTCCTTGCTCACTTTCCATCTCACCCCTGCCCCTCTCTACCCCCTGTGCCTCTGTGCCTGTTTTGCCTGCAGCCCAGTCTCCATCCCCTCTGACCCGCCACCATCTCTCTCAGTCTGGGTCCAGTGGTGTCTCTGCCGTCTCTGACCCACTCCGCCCATCTCTCTAATGGCTCCTTCCCTCTGTTGCTGCAAGCCCTTTCTTGCATTGGTCCGTCTTTCTGTCTGTCCTTCCTTGTTCTTCCTATTCTCCCCACCATCCCGCTCCCAGGAGAGCTCCCGAATTCTGGAAAGGCCTTCCCCACCTCCCCAGCCCAGAGCCCCAGGGTCCCTCTGTGCTGCCCACCTCCCTGCCTCCCTCCCTCCTCCCCAGGGTCCCTCTGTGCTAGCCCCTCTCTCCTCCCCAGGGTCTCCCTACACTGCCAACCCTCCTCCCTCCTTCCCAGTGTCCCTCTGTACTGCACCCTGCCTCCTTCCCTCCTTCCCAGTGTCCCTCTGTGCTAGCCCCTCTCTCCTCCCCAGGGTCTCCCTGCACTGCCAACCCTCCTCCCTCCTCCCCAGGGTCCCTCTGTGCTAGCCCCTCTCTCCTCCCCAGGGTCTCCCTGCACTGCCAACCCTCCTCCCTCCTTCCCAGTGTCCCTCTGTGCTAGCCCCTCTCTCCTCCCCAGGGTCTCCCTGCACTGCCAACCCTCCTCCCTCCTTCCCAGGGTCCCTCTGTACTGCACCCTGCCTCCCTCCCTCCCCCCCAGGGTCCCTCTGCATTGCCCACCTCCCTGCGTCCTGCCAGGACCTCCACCTGGTCCTGCTGACCTTCAACCTCTTGCTTCTCAAGGAAAACAGGTGGAGGTGAGCCGGGCAGCCCCTGCTGGCCTCTTAGGCTTCCTTGCCATGCCCCCAGCCCACTCCCCACCCAGCTGCCCACTCTTCAACTCCCAGAATGAGGTCATCATCCTGCCCCAGTTCCATTCCAGGTCCCTCATGATTTATTCACCTGCCCCCCACACTGGCCTTTGTCCAAGGGAACCAGATCCCACTAGGTGCTGCCACCTGAGCTGATGGCTCTGGCCTCTCTCGGCCACACACGGCCATCCATTCATGTATTCCCTCAGCAAACAGCTGATGCTGGCTGGGCCAGCTGCTGGGGCTATGTGACAGACCCCATCTGTGTAGAGAAGCCCACTCTCAGGCATGTCTAACCAGGAAAAGAGCCACCAGACATTCTCCAAGTGCTTGGGGTCATTGGCCCAGGCATCAGGGAGGCTTCATGGAGGAGGTGAGGGGATAAGGCAACGCTGCAGGCATTGCCTATTAATGTTTAACCTGTGCCTGGCCCTGGGTGAGAGCCAGGGTCCCTGGCAGGGATCAGCCTTGAACGTGGAGTGCCCCAGGAGCTGGAACCTGGCAGGTGTGTTGGATGGAGGCCCTTGGGAGGGAGGAAGGGGTTAGGGGCCTCTGGAGAGGATATGGGTGGCAGGAAGTCAGAGAAAATTTTAGAGAGGCTGAATCTGCAGCAGACATTTGTCCAGCACCTGCTCTGTACCTTCCTGGGTGCTGGAACCAGTCCCTACTTCCTGGAACGTTTCACCTGCTGGGAGATGCACATTCAGCAAACCAGAATGACAATGGCCAGGGAAGCGCAGGAAGGGCCAAAGTTGTCAGGAGGGAGGCCTTGGCCGGGTGTAGTGGCTCACGCCTGTAATCCCAGCACCTTGGGAGGCCAAGGCAGGCGGATCATTTGAGGTCAGCCTGGCCAACATGGCAAAACCCCGTCTCTACTAAAAATACAAAAATTAGCTGGCGCGGTGGCACATGCCTGTAATACCAGCTACTCGGGAGGCTGAGGCATGAGAATCACTTGAACCTGGGAGGCAGAGGTTGCATTGAGCAGAGATCGTGCCACTGCACTCCAGCCTGGGTGACAGACTGAGACTCTGTCTCGGAAGGAAGGAAGGAAGGAAGGAAGGAGGGAGAAAGAAAGAGAAAGAGAAAGGGAGAAAGAAAGAGAAAGAAAGAAAGAGAGAAAGGAAAAAAAAAGAGGGAGGCCTTGCTTGATGGGAGTTGAGGAACTGACATGCTAACCAGGAGCAGAGGATGATGGGAATGGCTGAGCAAAGGGAGGGGGTGGCCTCACAGACAGAGGAAAGCCTCCACATCTGAGGGCAGGCCGGGGTTGAGAGGTGAGTGGAAAGGCTGGTTGTGATCATTCCCATTGCCTCAACCTTCAATGTCCTTCAGTCCCACCTCTGCACACAGAGAGCAGGAGCGGCCTGGTCTCCCAGGTGGTAACATCTCTGGAAACATTCCTCGGAGACAGGAATTCTCCTCTGCAAGAGGGTAGAAAGGGCCGGCAGGCCTGGGTTCCCCCATGCACACACTGTGTCACCCTGGGAAAGGTATGTCACCTCTTTGAGCCTCAGTTTTCTCATCTGAAAAGTGGAGGTTGACCTAGCATCTGTCTCCCAGTACCACTGTGGAAATTAGATGACAGGACCTGGCAGGTTCCTGGCACATAGGAAGGTGCAGAATGTGGTGGGCACCACACGTGATGAATGATTCCATGTCTAAAGAACCATCTTTGAAAGTAGAAACTGGTGAGAAATGTATGTCCCAAAGTATAATCCAAAACAGTGGGGTCTGTAACCACTCAGGGTATAGGGGGTAAAAGAGTTTTCTATCAGGGAGCAAAGGCCTTGTGTCTAAGTGGAGGAGAAAGCCTGGCTTGGAGATCCCCCTGGCTTGTGTTCAATCAGCAGCATCCTGGAGCACTCAGCTTGGTGCCCTCTACTTGCCCAGCCTGACTTAGCTAAGCTGGAGTCCTGGCTCCAGTGTCCAGGATGGGTGGATCAGGGATTTGACTAATGGGTAGACAGAGGGAAGGATGGGTAGAAGGATGGTTGGTTGGGTAAAATGGGTGGTTGGATGGATGGGTGGATAATTTGATGAACTGGTGTTTAAATGGACAGATGGAAGGAAAGATGAATGGATGGACAGGAGGACAGATAGTTGGGTTAGTAGATGAGAAGTTGGATGGATGGACAGGTGAGTGGCTGGCTGGCTGGAAGGATGGGTAGGTGATCTGATGGGCTGGTGGTGCAATGGTTGGTAAATGGATGGGTGGATGATTGCATAGATAGTTGGTTAGGTAGATGGTTGGATAGATGGAGGGATGAATGGAAGATGGATGGATAGACAGGTGGCCAGTGATTGTATGGGTAAATGGATAGTTGGATGAATAGGTGGATAAATGGATAGGTGAATGTCTTGATGGACTGGCTATTGAATGTTTGATTGATGGGTGGATGGATGATTGGGTAGATGAAGGTTTAGATGGATAGATGAATGGAAGTGAATAGATGACTGAGAGGATAGACTGCTGGTGAAGGTCGTCTGTGTGTGTGTGTGTGTGTGTGTGTGTGTGTGTATGTGTGTTTTGAGACAGGATCTCACTCTGTCACCCAGGCTGGAGTGCAGTGGCACAATCATGGCTCGTGGCTTACTATAGCCTTGACCTCCTGGGCTTAAGCAATCTTTCTCTCAGTCTTCTGAGTAGCTGGCACTATAGGCATGTGGCACCATGCCCAGCCATCTTCTTTTTATTTATTGCAACGATGACATCTTGTTATGCTTCCCAGGCTAGTCTTGAATTCCTGGCCTAGAGCAATCCTCCCGCCTTGGCCTCCCAAAGTATTGAGATTACAGGCATGAGCCAAGGCTCCCCACAAAGGTTCCATATTCTTCATTAAAAGAGTTCATTAGCGTACAGACTATATTCTGCCTATTTTGGTGTCTCGCATGGTGTCTAACCCATTCATTGCCTGGCATATACTAATCAATGCATGAATGAAGACTTGTGTC